TTTTTTTTTTTAAGCTTTTACAAAATTACATTTTGGCTTTTCTGAATGTGGCCTGACATACAGTAGCTACTCTCTTGGGTCTGCGAAATGTTTGGAACCTGCTGCCTTGTGGCTTTGGTGGACTTGTCACACTCGAGCTCACGGCACGCACTCGTCCTTCTGCCCAGAGTGTTCTTCTACAGCCACCCCACCTCCCCCAATTTTCCCACCATCCCCTTCCATTCGGCTACTTCCTCCTCATCTCAGATGTTGCTGTCTCAGGGCAGCCTTTCCCAGGTCCTCCAAACCAGTGCTCTCTGACAGAAGTAAACACAAGCCTCAGATGGGAGCCATGTGGGTCCTTTTTAAAATTTTCTAGTAGCCGCTAGAAAAAAAGGGGCGCCTGGGTGGTTAAGTCGGTTGAGCATCCAACTCTCGGTTTCTGCTCAGGTCATGATCTCTGGGTCATGGGATCAAGCATGGAACCACTCTGAGCATAAAGCCTGCTCGAGATTTTCTGTCTCTCCCTTTCTCCCCCCTCCCTTTCTCTCTCTCTCTCTCTCTCCTTCCCCCTCCCCCTTTCCCTGCCTCTGCCCCTCTGCCAGCTCACATGTGCACATGTTTTCTCTGTCTCATAAAAATAAGGGTGGGTGGGGGAGGTAAGAGAAAAAAGGTGAAACTAATTTATATTATTTGCAAGATTTGTTTAACTCAACATTTCCAAACTTACTGAGATAGTTTACTTTCTTGTTTTCCTACCAAGTCTTTGAAATTCAATGTGTATTTTCCCCTTGAGGCACATCTCCCTTCGGGCCTATATCTGATGCTGCCATACTGGACAGCATGGGCCTAGATCTTCTGTTAAGTCCCTCCGTTGTGGGCACCATGTTCACTGCTTCCGCTCCGCACTTAGTGTAGATGTCCGTTCACTGGCTGAATGATGAGTGAACACATACATAATCATGCCCCTCTTTTTTTTTTTTTTTTTTTTTAAACGTTAGGAGCCTTTAACAATCCTGAAGCTCTGGAAAGCTTTCCCTATAGTTCAGCCCACATTCAGGACTACGTACATGGCATACCATTACTTCCGAAGCAAGGGCTGGGTTCCCAAAGTGGGACTGAAGTATGGGACAGATTTACGTAAGTAATTCTTGACTTGGTAGGTGCGAGAACCAAGGTTCGCAGCAGATCCCGGGGTGAAAACTGAATTGGTTATATGTACTGTTGCTCATTTTTTTCTAGGATGATGCTTTCCTTCTGGCTTAGGTAAGAATATTTGGATTGAAGTGGAGGGTTTGTCCAGGAAGAGTGGAAAGGAAGTCTAAGGGGCAAGCCCAGGATAGAAGCCTGGAGGCCTAAGTGTTCAGGTTTTTTTCTCTCACCACTCTGTAATCTGAGAAGAGAGTTTTACAGCTCTGCCCCCTCCTCTCATTAGCCACTCACTCCTATGATTTGGGGAGTCCCTCATCCTCTAGGCCTCCATTGTCACATCTAGCAAATGAGAATAATCACAGAATTAGAAGAATAATCACAGCTACCATTTGTTGAGCATCTACTATGTGTCAAACATTTTAAAATTCATTATCTCATTTAATCCCTAAAGCAGCAAAGGATACTCTTATTATTCTAATTTTTCCGATAGAGAGACTGCAGTTGTGAGAGAATGGGTCATTTGCCCCTAATAGTTTCCAGGACCAGTTACTTACGGAGCTGGGCTTTTTCTGGAGCCCAGGCCCTTAGAAACTGCATCTTCTTATCTTAAAGTAAGGCTTTTGGACCAGATGAGCACTTTATTCAACAGATCATTACGGAGACTCTTCTGTGGGTCAAGTCTTGTTAGGTACCAGGAAGACAGAGGTGAATGAGACAAACACAGAGCTGCCTTGATGGAGCTGCGTACATTCTGGCTGGGGAGATCAATAAGCAAACAAGTAAATATATAATCTAATTTCAGGGACTATTAAATACTAAGAAAAATAAAACATAGTAGAGGGATAGAAAGTCAGGAATGTTAGGAAAAGGCTCTGAAAAGATGTGATCAAAACAAACAAAATGTGACCACGGTAGGGAACAGGCTACTTGAGAATCTGGGGAAATACATGGTAGGCCCAATGTGAACAGCAAGTGCAAAGGCCCTGAGGCAGGAATGAGCTCAGTCAGTTTCAGGAACAACATAAAAACAGGGTGTCTAGAACTTAGAGATCCCAGGGGAAGAGCAAAGAACATGGTAGGCACAGAGTGAACAGCAAGCACAAAGGCCCTGAGGCAGGGAAGTCTCAGGAACAGCATAAAGGTAGTGTGTCTAGTACTTAGAGATCCCAGGGGAGAGTTACATGAGGTGATGTCTGCAAATTAAGCTTGGGCAGATTATGTAGGGCCCGGTTGTTATTCTGGTGATTAGAAGTCTTGGGAGAGTTTGAGCAAAGGAGTGACTTAAATCAATAGAACTCTCTGTCTCCTCTGTTACTGGTAGACTGTGGGATGGGGGGCAGGGGGCAAAAATGGAAGCAGATAGACTTTGTTAGGGAAGCTGAGCCCAACCAACCCTGCAGACAGAATGGATGTAGGAGTTTCATTTAAGAGGAATCAGGGATAATGCTTACATACATGGATTTGTATTTTAGACATATTAAGTAAGTCCAGTGGAGATACTGTAAAATAGATGATTCTAGAGCATAGGACAGCCTTGAGATAAAAATTTAGAGTTGTCGTTGTGTAAGTGGCTCCCAAAGCCACAGGCCCGGGTCAGTGGGCATAAATCCTAGGGTCCGTGCCCAGCACTAGTGTCACTGCCAAGTCCCTCAAACTCATTTTCCTCACCTCCCAAGTGAGGGTGCTTCCTGGATGCTTTTCAGAATTACTTGTGAGGTTCAGACAAAAAATGTCAATATATTTGAAAGGTCTTCTAAGAAGTCACGGCCCCTGAGGTCTTTTGACCTGTGTCATATGGTCCTTCCAAATGCTTTGAGCCTTTTTAAATACCCAAAGAAAGCCAATTCATTCTTTTAAATCTTTAAATGCTCTAAACTGTGCTTAACCTGGAATCATAGGATAGTTTTCAGGAAACCCCAGCACAATATGAAATACTGTGTTTTAGATTGGTGTGTTTTTATGGGTCAAGAGTCTGAACCTTTCACTAAATTCTCAAGCGGGGAGGGAACGTGTCTGCAGTCCAAAATGTTAAGAATTTCCTATTCCTCTAAGATAAATGATTCCTTTTGTTTGTTCCACGGCTGGATTTCAGGTACAGATATGCTAACTCAGGCTTACCACACGAATGATCAGGCTTAGCTTGAGATTAGTTTGCTAGGTTTCCACGTAATTGTATTGGCCACAGTTCACGATGTTGAAATAAGCTATGTGCCCGTTTTCCTTCCTTGGCTTCCTGCCCTGTTGTCCTTTTCATACTCCTGTAAGAGTAGCCACTCAGTGTAAACACTTGGCAGGTCTTCTTCAGCTTTTTCATTGTAGGAGTGAAACTTGAATTAGAACTTTCCAGTCAAGAAGTCTGCAGGGACACACTGAGAAGTGGCAGGGGGCTAGTAAAGAGAGCTCTTTGGGTTCATAGCCAGCTCTGCCTCTTTACTGTGTGACCTCAAGCAAATTACTTCTCTCTGAGTTTCCATTTGCTCATCATATAACATGGATAACACCATAACGTACACACACACACACATTTAAAACATCTTCATAAAAACTAAAATAAAAAGTTGCAGGGGACAGGAGCCTATGATGAGTGCCTTCTAAGCATACCTTATCTCATGTATTTTCAATACTAAGCCATATTTTCGAATGAAGAGTAATTTTAAAACCAAAACTGCCTTATGGGGATGGTTGAAAGGACAGATGTTTTTTTAAAAGAAATGAAACAACTGCTATTTTCCAACTCCCCAGAGGCCTTTGCCACAGCTGGGTCATATCATGTAACTTCAGGCTGCTTGTATAATTAATTTGAGACCAGGTCTCTGGCCCAGCAGCAACATGAAGTGTGTCTTCACATTTCCTGCTTTAGCAGAGGTTCACAAGCAGTGCTAGCCTGGGATGAGAGGAACAGCTTGCTGGGGTGCCTGGCTGGCTCAGTTGGGAGAGCATGTGACTCTTGATCTTGGGGATGTGAGTTCAAGCCCCACATTGGGTATAGAGATTACTTAAAATCTTTAAAAAAAAAAAAAAAGAAGAAAAGAAAAAGAAAAAGTAGGGTTGCCTGAGTGGCTCTGTTGTTGAAGCATCTGACTCTTGATTTCAGCTCAGGTCATGATCTCACAGTTGTGATATCTAGCCTTCTCTCTCTGTCTCTCTGCCCCTCACCCCCTCACTCATGCACACATGCTCACTCGCTTGCTCTCTCTGTGTCCCTCTCTCTCAAAAAAAAAAAAAAAAAAAAAAAAAAAAAAAAACCACAAAATTTAAAAAGAGGCACGGTTTCCTAAACTTTACCTCTTCTCTGGGCACAGTTCCTCGGTGGCTGCTGTTTTTTAGCAATATTATTTTGAGGGTTGATGACCTAATCACACATACCCTAGAACTGCCAAGACAGGTTAAACCCAGGACATCCTCTCTTGACCATTGTTTCTGTTTACAGAGGTAATGACTCATGACAAAGGGCCCTTATGAAATTCACATCTTATCAGGGAAACTCTTCCCTTGAATAAATCTTGTCAATCACATTTCATTCTAGGAGTGGTACTCGAGCTAGTGATATGGATCTCAAATCAAGTGCAGCTGCTGAGCTACTTGACCTTGATCACCCACTGATGAAAACTAGACTAGAAACCAAGTGGGAGCCTTTCCTTATATTCCCCACCCAGAAGCTCCCATAGCTGCTGGCTCTTAATGGCAACCGGGCACCTTGCCTTGGTGCTTTTCTTCCCTCGTCTTATTTACTCTTCATACTCCTGTGAGGCGTGTGGCATTCACCTCCTTTTATAATGCGCTGAGGAAATTACTGTTTAAAAGGGTCAAGGGAGTTGCCAAGGGTCCCACAGCAAGTAGGTGCAGAGATTAGCTCTGTCTGGGTCCAAGCTCCGTGTACCACGGAGTGGTACTTCTCTGCCAGCCAGAAAGCGAAAATCCAACTCAAGGTGTAGATTTTTTGTTTTTTTCTGACGCAGGCAGCTACTGGTTGATGTAACTTAAGATCTAGTTACTCCGAAGCCTCCTTCCCATACACTCCAGTTTTGGATTTGCATTGACTAAGTTCAGTCATGTGATTTCGCAGATGCCTGCAAATTAGAAGTCAGAGGACAAGTGGAATGACGGGAGCTGTTAGAAGCCAACAGAGTTTACAGGATTCCCAGAGCCCAGAGGAACCGTCCTGGGCATGGCGCCCCACCTAGAGACTGAGCCAGGGAGAGGCTTTAGAGCAGCTCCTCTGTACTCCTCACGGAACAAGGAGGTGCACCTTCTTCTGTCTCCCTTTTTGGTTCTTTCCTGAACCACTCTCTTGGCTTCTTTTCTAGTCAAATTTTTTAAATACTTTAACATTTTCCACATCTGCGCATATAAGCCTTAGTATTTCTGCATGCAGCTCGTAAGAATAGGGACGTTCTCCTACATAACGGTAATACCGTACTATACCCAACAGAAATTAGAAATTTTCTTTTTTCTTTTTTAATTTTTCTTAACATTTATTTTATTTTTGAGAGAGAAGCAGACACCGAATTCGAAGCAGGCTCCAGGCTCTGAGCTGTCAGCATGATCTTGAACCCACAAACCATGAGATCATGCATGACCTGAGCCGAAGTTGGACGCTTAACCAACTGAGCCACCCAGGCGCCCCTAGAATTTTTCAATATCACCAAAGTATCAGAAAATTTAAATTTTCTTCTGCTGTCCCCAAAATGTGTCTTGTGGCTGTGCGGGGGGAGGTTGTTTTTGTTTTCAATACCAGCTCTAGTCACAGTTCACTTATCACATTTGGTATTATAGGTTTCTCTTTTATTTTGCTATGGCTGCCATAATAAATTACCACATACTGGGGTGGGGGGCTTAAAGCAACAGAAACTGGGGTGCCTGGGTGGCTCGTTGGTTAAGTGTCCAACTTTGGCTCAGGTCATGATCTCGCAGTTCATGGGTTTGAGCCCCCACGTCAGGCTCTGTGCTGATGGCTCAGAGCCTGCAACCTGCTTCGGATTCTGTGTCTGTCTCTCTCTCTCTCTCTCTGCCCCTCCCCTGCTCACGCTCTGTCTCTCTCTCTCAAAAATAAATAAACATTAAAAAAAATTTTTTTTTAGAAAAACAGCATAAACTTATTCTCTCACAGTTCTGGGGACCAGACATTCACAGGACCATTCTCTCTCCAGAGGCAGTAGGGGAACTCAGTCCCTTGTCTATAGTGTTTCTAGTGCCACCGGGCGTCCCTTGGCTTATCACTCCAGTCTCTGCAAAGAACCTTCTTCAAACAAGGCCACATTCACAGATTCAGGGATTAAGATGTAGACGTACCTTTTGGGGGCCACGATTCACCCCACTACGGCCTCTTTAGCTTTTTTAAATCTAAAACGGTTTCTCTACCTTGTTGGTTTTTCATGATACTGAGTTTTCTTGAAAACTCCTAGAGGATATCCCACATTCTAGATATGTTCGATTGTTTCCTCATCATTAGACTCCATCTCACCATTCTTCAGCATGCATGGGTGTTCTGTGTATTTATTGTGCCCCATCAGGAGGTACTTAACATCAGGCTGTCCCACTGTATGATCACGTGGCCGAGGTGACCATTGTCAGATGTCTTGTAAAATTACATTTTTCCTTTTGTAATTAACAAGTAATGTGTAGGGTGAGACTGTGTATATCTGGTTCCCTGATAATTATAACAGTTGCCCGAATTAATTTCTTACACTAATCATCATTTTGTAATTCTGTCGTTCCTTCCACACGCCATCTCTGACGTTCGCTTAAAAGAAGGAGCTTTCCCTTCATTTCCCCGTTCTTTCAGACTTTATTTTTGAATGCCCAGGATTTCTTAGAGTTCCAAAGTTTTCATCTTTCTGCTTGAGAGGCATTTTTGTAAAAACAATTTTACTTTTCCCTCTGAATATGCTGTCATCATTATGATTACTATCCTAGGTAACATTTTGAACCCTTACTTTATGCCAGCCACCATGTCAATGCCTCTACATTCAGTCACTACACCAGGTTTTTTATAATAAGGAAATTGAAACACAGGGTGTCATCATGTCGTCTTGATACTGCTAAGACTTGAACTTGAGTCTGTCTGATGTCAGTGTTCATGCTTTTAACTTCTAAACTCTACCATCATCATCAGTCATCTGAAGTGACCCAACCTGTAGGTAAGAGCTGCTTTCGAGCTGTGAATGTTCCAGTGTTCCAGATGCACATGAGATTCAAGATGTGTGCCTGATCATAAATAATGGTATTTGAGGGCTAGAAAAGGTCTCAATTTCCCCTTGTTCTTCATTTTGTAATTCTGGACACTGAGGCTCAGAGATATTAGTAACTTGTTTGGAGTCACACCTCCAAGAATGGCAGAGACTGGACAGGAAACAAAACTCCTGAATTCAAGTTTTTTCCAGTACGTGGTTTCTTTCCACTGCGTCTCAAAACATTGAGGATTGTATGTTGGGGTATTTACTTAAATTTGTGCCCTTACACAGTGAATTTGAGCTGCTTGCCAAATCCTTTAAATATACTTTAAATAGGAAATAAAATAATAAAAAGGAAATGTGACCCTAGAAAATGTACTCTAGGTGAAGGGTTGCTGTATTGTCTCTAGGATCCTACAGGGTTACTAACTGAGGCTGTAAAGTTGGCTCTGAGCTTGCTGAGCCTTAGGGAAATGGGATTAGCTACAGTATTGTTACAGCCAAAAAGGAAAATTCTGTCAATTCTTCAATGGATAAAAAGTTTTTCTGCTTTGATTTGCACTGGCCACAAGCTTACAGATGTAATTGTGTATCAGTAAAGGTAATTTTTACAGGTATAGTTACATATAAACCCCAAATCTCAGAGGCCTAACAATTTCATTGCACGTGAAATTCAAAACCAGTATCTCTGAGTGGTGGGCCAATCGACTCCCAAAGGTGCTTCAGGAGCCCAGGTTGCTTCCTTGTGGCTCCATGGCCTTCACCACATGGCTTTCAAGGTCACCTTCAAAAAGGAATAAACACACAATTGGTGCATGGAAGGGTCTTGGGAAACTGAGAGACAGGGTCTAGCCATGTGCCTGGAAAGAGAGGAGAAATAGGTTTGATGAACAGATAGCTACTCCCTACCACAGATTGTGTGCCTCTGCAGGATTCCATGCACAGTTCCAGAGTCCACGTGGCAGAGTCCCTGCTCCAGGCTCTTTTGGGCACTGGCTTTTGAGCGCCATAGATTAAATCAGTAGGGCAGACCAATCTCCACAAGTGGCACGTATGGTTACTCATCTCTAGTACCAACACTCAAGTCAACTTGTACCTAGCCAGAGTAGCTCAGGCACTTTGAATTGCACCGATGTGAAATTAATAACAAAATGTTATTATATGAACTTCACATGTTGTGACATTATTTCACATTCTCACTCTGGAGATTGTAAGACAAGAGGCAAGACAGAAATCACTTGTATTTCAGTTTGGATTTCATTTGTGGGGTGAGGGTGGGATGAGAATGTTCGGGTCCTGGCCACAGATTTGCTTTATTAATTGCATTTTGTTCCAAGGGGGAAAAAAAACAGTTTGGGTTTTAAAAATAGACCACTGGACATTTTGCACATTACCCATGTACAGATAATTGGGTATTTATAGCTCTTTGGAGAAGAGAAAACATCAATAATACAGTAAGATTTTGATTTTAAGGGGTTATATATTTTCTTTCTTTTTCTTTGCAGTGTTGTATCGAAAAGGCCCTCCATTTTACCATGCAAGGTTTGAAATGATTTTTTTTTTTAATGTTTTATTTATTTTTTGAGTGAGAGTGTAAAGTAGGGGAGGGGCAGAGAGAAGGGGACAGAAGATCCAAAGTGGGCTCTGTGCTGACAGGCTGACAGCAGCACGCCCAACATGGGGCTCGAACTCATGAACCGTGAGATCATGACCTGAGCCGAAGTCGGATGCTCAACCAACTGAGCCACCCAGGTGCCCCTGCGGTGATTTTTTAAGTAAGGTAATGGCTTCAAAGGACAGGAGGAAATTTCTGACCTCCAGTGACCTCCTGTGCCACAGAAACAATTACAATCATGTTTCTCTTGGCCTGTTAGGAATAGATGCTCTGCAACTGTGCTTTATACACTAATGTTGTACTATGTACATAGTAATAAATAGGTTATAATATGTTTTAGTATTACACATTCAGTTAATCTATGCAGTAATTGTTCATCTTAATATCAGTGAGTATCTAAACAGTTGAATGAATTCACAGCTTTCTTGTTGGGTAAAGTATTTCTGTTCTCTCCTTGTCACTGTTGAGATCAGCCTGAAAGTTTGTAATGTAAAGTAGGAGTTTTTCATTAATATTTTTCCCAATAACGTTGTAGGAGAATTTAGGAGGAGATGGTGTACGTTTTATTTTCTGTATCTTTGTTCTTGGTAGAACAAGCATTATTCTTTTTAAAGAGGTTGATTTCATGCTTTTTAATGCCCTCTGTGTGTCTTCCAGTTATTCTGTCATTATTGAATTAGTCGACGACCATTTCGAGGGCTCTCTTCGCAGACCTTTCAGCTGGAGGTCACTGGCTGCCTTGAGCAGAGTTTCAGTTAATGTCTCCAAGGTAACGACATCAGCTTTGGCATTCACAAGTCATTTAAATGCTTGGATTTTTTTTCTTAAATGTAGTAGAATCATAAAAGTCATCTGTAGGAACTTCACAGTGTTCCTGCCAGTGAAGTTCTAAAAAGGTGGGGGGCTAGAAGCTGACCTCTTCTCGTGTTCCCTGCCCCTACCCTCTGGTACTGAGCACCACGAATTGAGCTTCAAAGATCCCTAGTGATTGATGTTGGTGGGCATTGCCTCCCTTCCCGGGCCTGCCGTCAACACACGCTCAAAAGTTACTCACACACATTCACAAAGGAGTCAAAACATTGATTTCTTTTCAAAGCTAGCAGATCTCTTGAAGTGAGAGGAAGGATATTAGTATTTATAGCTAAACACTGTACATGTTTTGTCACCACCCTGTTGGTATCCTTATCCCTAAGAGTGAGGAATCAGAGTCAGAGATAAGGGACAAACCCAAGATCATGCAGCTTATATGCAGAATGGGGATTCAGACCCAGAGTCATCTGACTGCCGGACTTGTCTTCTGCCATATCCTGCTCCCGTCAAGATAGGAGGGAAATTTCATCTTACCCCAGGACTACTAAGGATGAAAGCTTTGTGTGTTCTCTGTTACTCAATAACTTGCTAACCAAACACAGACTGTGAGCCCCTCTGAGTCTGTCCCACTGCTGCTGGAGGCGCTGTGGGAGGTGACACCAGAAGGCCCAGCAGAGGCCAGGGGGCAACTGCCTTGTCTGCAGGTGAAGCTGCTTAGGTTTAGCCTGTAAAAAATAGCTTTATCTTTTAGAAATAGGAAATCTGTACTGTTTCTAGTATTTTTACACCCATTGTATGGGCCTGGTCCTTAGTTAGATCCCAGGCCCATTCGTGTTCCTGGAAGAAACCGGTGTGCTTTGTGAGTTTCCAGGAGCACTCAGTGGGAGGGAATGGAGACTGCCTGCACTTCCTGATCACGCACCCAAATTTATATTATTATTGTGTGGGATGTGGAGATTGTTCTTTGTTTCTCAATAGGAACTTATGCTGTGCTATTTGATTAAACCCTCTACCATGACTGACAAAGAGATGGAGTCACCAGAGTGTATGAAACGAATCAAAGTTCAGGTAGGTAAACTCAGAGACAAGTTCATGGCATCCTAAAGACCGTATCCACTGTATTGTGTCCTCTGGAACACGTGGTCCCAAGAAAAGAAAGGAAAACCTCTTGCCTTGGTAACAGGAAGCCCCCGCAGGCCCTCTCCCCACTGAGCCTGCTCTCAGTCCCCCTTAACTCCTGCTGCTGCTTTACCTACAATGTCATCTGGCTTCCATCCCCACCATTCAGCTGAAACTGCTCTCACAGGCGGCCTGGGACCGCCCAGCCAAGCCTCTCCCAGGTCCCAGTCTTCCTGGAGAGTTTTTCTCTGGCAAGACTGCCACATTCATCATGCTGTCCCCCAGGGTTACTCGCTATTTCTGCAAGTAACTGCCTGTCTGCCTGTGACTCCTCCCCCACATGCAGCCGTCCTCGTCCTCTTTCATCTCTAACATTGCACCCCATCTCCTTGTTCACACCACTTGGTCCCTCTACAGCCCCACCAGTCGCCATTCGGCTTCCCCGGCCTCAGCGCCTCATCCATCCAATTTGTCTTGCCTGTGCCCACTAGGTTAGCTGTTCCTAAAATGCCAGCCCAGATCCACTTCTCCCTTCTCAGTGCCAGCCCGGATACACCAGATGCATACCCGGATACATCTCAGATTTGGTTCTCGTGCTAGCTTTCAGATTCCTTTTCCTGAAATGTCCCAGTGGGATACCAAGGCCAAGGCACATTTAGCTTTTAAAATCTTTGTGTGATTATGGTAGGTAGTATTTGCGTATAAGGTGTGTACTGCCAGCCTTCACATTTTCTCCAGATGTTTCAGTAATAAGGAATAGGAACAGGTGTCATCATTATAAGACAACTCTTTGTGAAATGTTACTGTGATGTCACACACCTAGCATGTTCTTTCATTTCTGATGTTGAAACTTTCAGTCACCTTTTTATTTTGATTGGTTGCAGGAGGTGATTCTAAGCCGTTGGGTTTCTTCACGAGAGAGAAGTGACCAAGACGAACTTTAACAATTCAACCTCAGAATTCTGATTTACCAACAAATACTGTTGAGTGTCCTACAGTAAGCCAAGTTCTGTGTGAGGTAACAAGTCCTCTTACTATAATCGCCCAGTAATTGAAAAGTTCTAAAGGGCATGGCCCCCCCATCACCAAAAAGCAATTAGTATTTTAAAAGATAAAATGACACAGGGGAGAACAAAGAGCCCTTTGCTGGCCTTCAGATTCTGTTCTTGAGTAAGTCACTGACCCTGACTGATCCTGAATTTCTCATCTGTGGGCCCGCATCCTCACCCATTCAGTAAGCACATTGGACTAGATGAGTTCCAAGAGGACTCTTCCAGCTACAGGGAAATTCTGTTACTCTCTGATTTTACCTGACAATGACAGTAGTTTACATTTATGTGACACGGTACAGTTTCCCAAACTCTTTTCTATGCATGCATCTCATTACTCACATCCAGTGTGTCCCTGAGAGTGTGCCGGAAAGGAGGCTTGGGGATTATAAGACTCTGTGTGCCAATATGTTAAATGGAAAAAATGATGTGTCTCATCTTTTCTAAGAACTTCAACCAATTACTCAACCCTGGAAAATCCACTTATTATCTGTCCAGGATTTCTGTATCATAAAGCCTTTCAAAAACATCATCACCTAATCATTAACTCTCAGCTCGCTGATGGACACATTTGTGTCCAGTACACCACAGTATTATACAGTATTAGATAAAAATTGCATCTTGCTTCAGTGAACTTGTTTGTAAAATAAAAATAGGTAGTGAAATAATGTATGAGGATACATAATGAATGCAGTTAGCATTTAGTAAAACTCAGTAAACAAAGCCTTTTTCATATTGGTTACATACCAGTGAAGGTTTTGCAGGGCAGCAGGGGTGGAGGGGAAGATGAGCAGGAGGGAAACCAGAGACAGCCTGAGGGAAACAGGTGTGTGAGATTCATCCAGTGTCCAAATTCAAGACAATGGCAGTCTTCTCTTTGACACTGCATACCCCGGAAGTGGACGGTGAGAGCTGGAATGTTTGCGTTCCTGTGACGTGTGGTCTCGGAGCTTCCGGCGGCCTGAGATTCCACCTGATGTCATTTTTGAACATGGTGCTTCTGTTCACATCATGATCCTGCTCTCGCAACAGAAGCATTAGATCTGCATGATCTACATTTTAAAGATTTGGCATTCAAATAAGGGAGCTCCTCTTTTTCCCTCGGATGCAGACCAATATGATTACCAATTTGAAAGAGCCTCTCAGTAATACGCCTTTTTGCTGTACGTTAGCGACACTAGTAGCTCAACATTTTTACTACCCGCTTTGCTCTCACCAGGCTCCTTAGCAAAGTCAGAGACTTGGCTTTCAAACATCATCACTTTTTTAAAACCCTGAAAGTCAGCAAAAATTTCAGGCGCTATTTTTTTCCCCATTTCATCTGTCATTTGTGGTGACACTTCTCTCCATACCCAATCAGTGCATCATATGCCTTGATGGTAAAAACTCTTCTGTGAATCCTTCATCACAGTTCTGTCATCCTGTGAGCACCCACATCACCTGCTTATCATCTGCTAATGTGCCTTCATGTAAACTCTTAAACTGTAAAGGCTTCATGTAAAGGCTACAGTAAAGATGTAGAAAAGCCACAAGACTACGCAGATACTACTTATAAACGAAAGTTCCAGAAGGATGTCCAAAAGCACCATCTTTAAACAAGCCTTGTATGAAAGATTTTCCCCCTTCATGTACACCGTCTGAACATGCTGCAGTGGGCCATGCACTCTTCAGCATTTCCCAAGGGCCCTGGGGTTCTGGAATGATGTACCAGCAAAGGTTTTGGGTTACATGAGCCTCACAGTTACCAGCTAAAAGCACTATTAGCTTGTCTTTAGATGTATTATGTCCTGGCACTTTTTTCTTACCTTCTGAAATAAATGTAACAGATGGCATGTGTTTTTTTTTTTAAAAAAAGCTCACGTTCAGCAAGATTGGAAATTTGCTCTGTGATAAAACCACCTTCACAAATGGCTGTGGTTCAGTGGGGAGATGCTGCCGCCTTAGAGAGAAGTTGCTTCACCCACTCTCTTCCAAGCATGTTTTATGTGGTTCTTAAATCTCAAACCTCCGAGATTTGCTTTAAAACTGGAATTCTTCACCAAATCCTCTCTCTCAGCTCTCCCAAGGTGTCTAAGCTGCCCAGTGTACCAGCATGTGCTCAGTAGCATCACGCTGACTGGCCATGCACCCTCCATACAAGAATTTCACTGGCTTTATAACAGCACACCACACTCAAGAACGCCGCAAAACTTTGTGGAACCAGCACTTTTTACAAGTTGTTTTGTTACCCAGTGCAAAAAATATATACACAAAAAAGAAGGAATACATACTTGGCCAAGACTGTATCTTTTATGTGACCACCTTTCTCAACTATCACTTCTAATTTTTTTTTTCTAATAAAGGGGATTTCTTGGGCCTTTAAAACTCCCATACTTTAATAGCACCTGGTTGGCTCAGTCAGTCCAGTGTCCAACTCTTGATCTTAGCTCAGGTCGTGATCTCACGGTTTGTGGGATCGAGCTCCTCACTGAGCTCTGTGCTGACAGCACGGAGCCTGCTTGTGATTTTCTCTTTCCCTCTCTCTCTCTGCCTGTCCTGCTCACGTGCTCTCTCTCTTTCTCAAATAAGTAAAGTTTAAAAAAAAAATCACCTACTTTCTTCTTGGGCTTTTCCAGTCCCACAAGAGACGTTTTTACTTAATACAGCGGGGGAAATGATGCGACAATACAGCACACGTCTAAACAGCACAAGCATGGAGCAGTCAGCTAAGACCAGCACGTGCCGTGTGGTCTGGACACTCACAACTTGAGTGATTTTGCTGACGACTCATACTCATTGTTTTGTATTTGGATAGCCAATATAGCATTTTTTTTGTAAATAGTTACAGCAGATATTCAGATAGTAGAGTTTAAGATGGGGCAGACCCCTGTGTTCTTGCTTATCACACAATAGGCTTTTTTTCCAATACAGAAAATCAATTTGATTTCAACAACTACAAATACATGGAAAATGGGAATTGAAAGTTAAAAATAAAAATAGTATCATTTAAAATAATAACATAAATCATGAAATACTAAGGTATAAATCTTAGAATCACACAACAGACTTTTGACTTCAAATGGTGGGAGCCTCCACAGGACGAAGGTTTGAGGCTCAGAGACGTGACCACCCCACACCACCGCCACAGAGTGCAAGCGGAGGACTTGACCCCAGAGCTCTCAGTCCTATTTAGTGCCTTTATAAGATCTCCACAGCTAAAGTGACACCAACCTAGAAAAGCATGTGAAGTCAGAAATACGTCACCATTAGGGCCTGAGTGGAGGTTAGAAAGGAAGGCTGCCCAACACTCCAGGCAGGCCTGGTATGTGCTGGTACATCTGGGTGGTGGTCCCCTGCCTCAGTGTTGGGGTGCAGCCTGGGGCCCCCACCAGGAACATGCTCGTGCATCTGGTTTTGGCATAATCTTCAGGAGGTTCACAGATTCCATGAGGACCATCTGTGGATCCCACTTACAAACCTGGAAGCGTTGTGTGGTTCTTAACTTGTAATTAGTCTCCACAGAGATAATTTTATTGAAGGCTGGGTAATGGGGTGAGCCTTCTACAAAGGAATCAGTCGTAGCTCAGCTCTCCTGTGCACAGCAAGTTGAGAGCTGAGGGCTGTTCTGTGGCCAGAAGGGCTGTTGTGTCGGCTCAGTGAACTGCATTACCTTCATGCTGCCTCCTGAAGAACCCATGGCTAGAACAGGTCGGTCACCCTTTGGAGGTGGGGCCAGCTGGGGCACCACCTCCTCAGGTTAGACTGAGTAGCTTACAGTTATCAGGATTTTTTTTTTAAGTTTATTTTATATTTATTTATTTTGAGAGAGCACAGGCAGGGGAGGGGCAGAGAGAGAGAGACAGGGAATCCCAGGCAGGCTCTGCAATGTCAGCACACAGCCCAACGCTAGGCTCAAACCCACAAACCTTGATGACCTGAGCTGAAATCAAGAGTTGGATTCTTAACCTCCTGACCAACCCAGTTGCCCCAGTCTTCAGGATTTTTAAAATGTTGAGACTCTGGTTGTCAGCACTTGCTTGGTTTCTTTTTTTTTTTTTTTTTTTTAATTTTTTTTTCAACATTTTTTATTTATTTTTGGGACAGAGAGAGACAGAGCATGAACAGGGGAGGGGCAGAGAGAGAGGGAGACACAGAATAACGCTCCAGGCTCTGAGCTATCAGCCCAGAGCCGACGCTGTGCTCAACTCACTGACCAGAAGATCGGACTCTCGCTGAAGTCGGACGCTTAACCGACTACGCCACCCAGGCGCCCCACTTGCTTGGTTTCTTTAATTGGCCTTGGCTGGATGACAAGATGGCTGTGGTTACATGCTTTGGAGTCAGACACAGGTTTGCATCCCAACTCATCCCCTTACTCACCATGTGATCTTAACCTGTTTCCTCATCTATAAAATAGAATTAATGTTCTCAGCCTTCACATACAAGGGAATCCTGTTCAGCCACAAAAAGGAGTGAAGAGCTGGTACGTGCAACATGGATGGATCTCAAACACATATCAAGTGAAAGAAATGCCACATAGCGTTTGATTCCAGGTGTATATCCAAAATAGGTAAATCCATAGAGAACACAGATCAGTGGTTCCCAGGGTCAGTGGGGGAGGACTAAGGAGCAACTGTTTGGTGGGTCCAGAGTCTCCTTTAGAGGTAATAGAATGTTTTGGAAGTGGAGGTGATGGTTGCACAACACTGAATCTACTAAGTGCAGAATCTTTCCCTTGAAAATAGGTTTATGGAATAAGAATCTCACCTCCATGAGAAAAAAAAAAAAAGTAAAAATAATAATGATGTCCAGAGGCTTGCTGGAAGATTAAGTGTCTTGGCCCTTACAAGGTGCTTATTAGTACCATGCCTGGCTTGTGATGGACTTCCAGTAATTTCCAGCTATGCTGATTCATTTGGTGAGACAAGAGGAAGTTCTGTCTTAAGAACCACCATTACCCATCATCTGAAGGCAGTGATTTGTGCAGTCGCTTATCATATGTTGATTCTCTTAGCTTCAGTTTTAGAGACTGACGTTTTTCTGACCTCATTCCCAGACTGTGTGGGGAAATCCCGATGTCTGTGCCTCTACTGGCCTAAGTTCTCCTGTAAGGAGACTCAGTTCTATTAAGTGATTCATACAGGGATTGGCAGGGATTAAACCAACATGAATGGGACGTGGTTTTAGGCAGTTTAACCGGGATTGAGCTGCTCAGGTTTCCCTACATTTTTGAGCATAGTCTGTACACAAGTCTGAAAAGTCATTGTTACTTGTGGAATAAAATTTTGATTCCGTCTTTTTTTTTTTTTTTTTTTTTTTTTTTTTTGCCCTTATTGTTAAAGCATTGTCATTTTCTTTCTTTTTTTTTTTTTTTTTAAGTTGCTGTTTACTTGAATTGGTTTTTAACTTAGTTTTCCCCTTGTGGAGGAGTACTTAGGTTGAAAAGAAATGAGTTATCTTCTCCCCACCACCTACCTCCCATTTGTGATTTTACCAACTAAATTGATTTCTTAAAAATCTGATTACAGACTCAAATAATTATACCATGAATGTTAACTTCCATGAAACTAACTGAGGTCCATTTCTAAAATTGAGAGTTATCTAATGCTTGATTTATCTTCAATCTTTACTTTTTTTATATATAAGCTGAAAAAGTTTAGTCTTTCTACCACTTCGTGTAATACAGGGAGACATCCTGTAGGAGTACATGATATGAAAAAGCACATTTGTGAAACTGTTAAACTAAGAGGTAGTGGTTTTTTTTAATTTCAAAGTAATTCACTCTTTTTTAAAAAATGAAAGATTGCAAGCATTTAAGATGTTTAGAATCTTTTTATTTTCAGAAACAATGTTACACAGGTAGATATTCTTCCTTTTATTTTAAGTTTATTTATTTATTTTTGAGAGAGAGCTGGGGAGGGGCGCAGAGAGAGGAAGACAAAGAATCCCAAGCAGACTCCACACTGATATTGCAGAGCCCCTTGTGGGGCTCGAACTCACCAACCATGAGATCATGACCTGAGGTGAAATCAAGAGTCGGATGCTTAACCAATTGAGCCACCCGGGTGCACCTCTTCCTAACTTTTAAGTAGCACGTTCTGATAAAGTAGGAAGAATGGCATTAGAAAAACCTAGGTCCAAATTCCAAGTCTACACTAGGGAAACAGTGGTGACCTTGGGAGCCTTCGCATATCACTCTGAACCTTAGCTTCCTCACCTGTGAAATGGAAATGATCACAGCATGCTGAGTGTGTTTTGTGGACTAAATGAAAGTGTCTGGCATGAAGCGTGTGTACTTTTTCCTCTTTCAGATAAACCAAAAGCATAAGCACTGCCATAGTTGTTTTCTCTAGGAAATGTAAAGCCTATTTTATGCCCTGGTAGGTGACAGTGGAGGAGAAGGAGGTGACAGAAAAATAGTTGGAGGTAAAGTAGTGAAGACAGCTCTGGGGATGGCGAGAAGTTTCTCCTCCTGTGCAAGGGGAACCAGAAATGGCCATTGTGTGTTTTTTATAAAATAATGTTTATCAGGTTTTCCTGGTTATAGGAGTAATTCATGCATGCCCTGAAAGCTTTGGGGAAATGCTTTGGGCGGATCATTTTAGACTTTCAAATCAGTTAACCCTGAGGCTAACTTTATGACCTTGCAGTGAAAAGGAGCCCAGCAGTCAGTCATTACTTGAGGGTTGACGAGGACTAGATGTGTGCCCAGGGCAGCACTAGACCATGAGATGAAGAGATGCATTGTGGGGGTGCCAGTGCTGGAGAACTCTTCTGGGAAGCAGAGTTGGTGCCAATGCTGACTCTCCTCATCCTTCAGTTAGCATTTAGCTGGTATGATAAAAGAAACTTAATGGAAGGATTCTCAGTTCATAATTCTGCAAAACTGAGCAACATTGCCATCTATTGGTATTATGTCAGTGCTTAATTTCCTTCATTAGGAGTAAAGTTTGTAAGGTGGTACTGTGATTTTTATAAGAGGGAATTTGTAGCCTCCTGAAGTGAAAGAAGAAATAGGCTGACTGCTGCCGTTCTCACCCCCAGGTTGGAGAGCAGTCCCTAAAACAGGGACTGGAGGCTGTGAAAGCTTTGTTTGAAAATCAAGGAATGCTGCACTAAGAGAAAGCGTGAAATTGCCATTTTTAACATTTACCCTTCTTATTTTATCCGAATTTTTATGACATGTATTTCCATTCCCTGTTTGAATGTCGATGGAAGCACAATCTTTATTTTCTCCTTTATCTTCTCTACTGGTGGCAAATGGTGGCCCAGTGGTTATGTGCACGGCCTTCACAGTCAAACCTAGATTTGATCTCTGGTTTTCCCACTGTGTGACTTTGGGCAAGTCATTTCCTCAGTTTCCCTTTTCATGTGCAAATTGGGCATATTGTTAGTACCTACTTCTCAAGGTGGTCTTAAGGATTAAAAGGGAAGAAAGATTAAGAAATTTACTCAGGTATGGAGTCCTTAATGAATACTCATTAATTACAGCTGCTCTGATTATCAATAATTGGGTAAAGAACTGGACCAGAGAAGTAGAGTCCAAAAATAGTGTGTTAATAGAATAGGGACAAATTGGAATATATCCCAAACTCAACACTCGATTTTTCATCTTTATCCAGTCAAGTCTTTATAACTTCTTGAACACCACAGAATAGTAGTCATAATTCTGTTTAAAGCGGTATCATGTTCTGGGTGGGAAGTTTTGTTTCTCTTAAAAGGACCCAAACTTATAAATGCAAATGTTGGTGTGCCATGCATTTCCCCCCACTGAATTTGCCAAGTTCTGAAACATTACCCAAATGCCTCCTTGGTAACAGGCTTTACGGATCTGTAGCAAGTTTTCTGAATATCTTTATTATGGGTAAATTACCGGTTCCTTAAAGATGGACTTGGTTTTTTGGAAATTAGACATCATTTATTTGGTGCCATAGCTGGGGCATAAGATTAGATGTGGCAGTATATCACATTTGGTCAAAAACAAAGTGAACTCTGGAAGCAGTTTCCAGAGAGGAATGCTGAAACATTTCACTCCTTGGCTAAAGTTCAGTGATTATTTGCGCAGATGAATTCTGATGTGGTTGTTAAGTCACCTCATTTCTTCATAATTACTCCTCCCACCTGTTCCCCCTTCCTTCCCCTGAAGGTGTTAGAGAAAGAAGTCCACCTTTCCTTGTATCCTTCCTGAATTATGCATTTAAAGTAGACAGAGGAGGGGCTCCTGGCTGGCTCAGTCAGTGGAGCCTGCGACTCTTGATCTCAGGGTCGTGAGTTCGAGCCCTACACTGGGTGTAGAGATGACTTAAATAAATAAATAAAGTTTAAAAAATAATAAAGTAGGCAGGGGATGTGCTTTGCCTTGGTAAACTCAATACCCTGATCTCCTCATGTGAGGTCAGGCAAAATGAATGAAACAGAATGACTTGAGGAATTGCCATCCACTTTGCATATATGCTCGTAAAGGCTAATTGAGAAGTGGAACCTGTTTCCTGACTTAGATTCCAAGACCCTTGCTTACTTGCTTTCCTTATGTCTTTCCTTCTTTCTTCTCTTTGCTTCACTATTGCTGTCAAAAGGCTACCATGTGCTGGGGCGCCTGGGTGGCGCAGTCGGTTAAGCGTCCGACTTCAGCCAGGTCACGATCTCGCGGTGCGTGAGTTCGAGCCCCGCGTCGGGCTCTGGGCTGATGGCTCAGAGCCTGGAGCCTGTTTCCGATTCTGTGTCTCCCTCTCTCTCTGCCCCTCCCCCATTCATGCTCTGTCTCTCTCTGTCCCAAAAATAAATAAACGTTGAAAAAAAAAAAATTAAAAAAAAAAAAAAAAAAAAGGCTACCATGTGCTTTTTAAATAAAAACAATCCAGTGAAGTTACTTCATTAATTGTGTCTTGCTCACCTTTCTACAAATTCCTACTTTCTGGGTTCACATGGAAAGGTGAATTTGTTCAGCTTTAATTATAGAAATAGTTTTCATTGTTCTGTAAATAAAAATGCTGCCACTCTGCTGTATCATGGAATCTCAGTTTAAAAATCAAACCATTATGAGAATAATTTAGTTGTAATCCAATACAATTTTTAAAACCCAGGGTGTGGTGCCTGGGTGTCTCAGTCAATTGAGCATCTGACTCTTGATTTTGGCTCAGGTCATGATCCCAGGGTTGTGGGATCAGGCCCCATATCAGGCTCCATGGAGCCTGCTTAAGATTCTCTCCATCCCCCCCTCCCCCTCTCTCTGTCCCCTCCCACCAGCTCATGCTCTCTTTTAAAAAACAAACAAAAAAACAAAAACCCTTATAGGTGCGCCTGGGTGGATCAGTTGGTTAAGCAACCAACTCTTGATTTTGACTCAAGTCATGATTTTGACTCAGTTTGTGAGATCAAGCCCTGTGTCAGGCTCCATGCTGACAGCACAGAGCCTGCTTGGGATTCTCTCTCCCTCTCTCTGCCCTTCCCCTTACGCTCACATGCTCGTGCCCTCTCTCTCTCTCTTGCAATAAATAAATAAAACATTTTTTAAAAACAGGACAATCTTTATTAATTCTATAAATTCTTATACTGCAGTAAGTGGAAATATGCTAAACGTAAAGTCATAACACTTTGGTATTAAGCACAGTTTAACCCACCTAAAAATCTCTAGTATCTACTAATGGTAGGAAGTCCAGAGCTACCCCTCTGCTGGCATACGGCACACTCAGCACACACCGCTCCCCTCAGGAGGGTTTGTCTCTTCCTCAGGGCAGTCGGTCACGTAGAAGCCATGCTCCTCTATCCCTCGGTAGAGTGTGATGTACTTGGAAGCCTTCCTTGTCCTCGGAACCACGTACTTTTCCGTGAACTCACCCTTGTCCAGTTGCCCCTTGCCTTCTGTGGTCAGAACGCAGTTAATGAACGTGAGGGTGTAACTGTAGCAGTTGTGATGGTCTTCTTCATACCTTACAAAAGAAGGATGGTGAGAAGGGAAGGCTTAGGTTTAAAAGCTGCTCAGGGGGCACCTGTGTGGCTTAGTCAGTTAAGCATCTACCTTCAGCTCAGGTCATGATCTCACAGTTTGTGAGTTCAAGCCCCACGTCGGGCTCTGTGCTGACAGCTCACAGCTTGGAGCCTGCAGCCTGCTTCGAATTCTGTGTCTCCCTCTCTCTCTGCCCTGCTCCCCACCTCCCCCGCCCACTCACACTCTGTCTCTCTCTCAAAAATAAACATTAAAAAATTTAAAGAAAAAAAAAAGGCTGCTCAGGAACAAGCCATGAAGCTGTTGAAGGACTTGCAGAGTTGAAATTGGGCTGTCAGTGGACTGGGCCCCTATGTGTGCTGACCCCTTGGTGACAGAGCTCCCAGAGGTGCAATTTCGAGGGACGCTTGGCGGTTTGGGCCATGTCCACTTGCAAGTTACATAAGACAGGAGTGGGCGTGTCTACATGTGCTGACTCATTGTATGGAAACTGCCAACTTAGGGAGCTGACATTCTAGAAATGGAGTTCTCCTTCCAGGTTTTAGGGTATCCCAGTGTCTAAATTTATTTTAAGGGAAGGAAGCCTCAAGACAATTTAGGTTCACAAGTATGCTATATATCTAAAGTGTTGAGGGAGCAATAAATTGAGAAATTTCAAATTTGCCAAATCACAAAAACATTATTTTTACATGTTAAACATTTAAAAAATGTTTAAGGGAATATAATAGGGGTCTTTCTGTACATATTAAATGTTAAGTATGTAAAAATATCTAGTCAAATAACTGGAGTACTAAGCTGTGGTCCTTTTGGTTCTTAAGATGCTGTGATTCTGGGGCTCCTGGGTGGCTCAGTTGATTGAGCATCCGACTTCGGCTCAGGTCATGATCTCATGGTTTGTGAGTTCAAGCCCTACATCAGGCTGGCTGTTGTCAATGCAGAGCCTGCTTTGAATCCTCTGTCCCCCTCTCTGTCTGCCCCTCCCCCACTCATGTTCTCCATCTCTCTCTCTCTCTCTCTCTCTCTCTCTCTCTCTCTCTCTCTCAAAAATGAATAAACATTTATTTTTAAAAATGCTGTGATTCTATTGTGTAAAGGTACATTGGCTCATCTCTGCAGAAAACCCAAATTCAACCCCTGTTTAAACTTTGTTACAGGTACTACTCTCTTGGTACAGGCTCACCATAAACTAAACAGCTTAAGAGTCCTCTGAGCTGGGGTCCCACCTGCATGGTGAACGAGCGGGTGGCCCCTGCAGCCCTGTACCTCTGAGGCAGCCAGGCTCCCGAGGTGGAGAAGTCTTCCAGGTACTTGTCCCACTGATCCATCAGTCCATACATGCCAGGCTGCAGTAAAGGGATGCTTACACTCTGCTCCCACCCTGCTTCATCTCGCTGGACCCCGTGCATGGTGTAATTATACACAACTCCTGCAACCAAAACTGGAGTCATGCGGAAGCCCAAGGGAAAATGCACCTCTGTTTAGAGGCCATCAGAAAATGACAACTGCTCCTGGGAAATGCCACATAACAGAAACCCAATTGTACTTTGTGATTACTGTTGAAGAGCAGTAGACCGTGAAAGACCCTAGAATCTCCTGCAGGATCAAGCCGGGGAGGCAGCCACCCACCTAACAGATTTAGAGAGGGCCTTGCCTAGAGTCAGGATTGGGGGTTACGAGCCTCTGCCTCCCGGGCCCTCAGCAAAGCATTTCTTTCAGGGAAACCCAGTTCTTGCTCTACCTGTTCTCCAGCACCGTGAAGTTGCCCCCAGGAAATGGAGACTAGAATAGATATTCATCTCCAAATATTTTTTGCTCAAGTTTTCTATTTACGAATGGTTCTATCTTCTTTCCTTAAATCAGCAATAAATTTCCACTGATGGAATGGGTGGTAAATTTGCTCATGTGGGTAAATCTGAGTTCAAAAATCCAGTCCTGGGTTTCTGTTCGCTGGTCAGTTTCTCCCGCCTTGAGCAGGTGCAGAAAGGTTGCCTTCAGACTTGACTTATGAGGCCTGTGATCACAGCCTCACCTGCCTGGCTTTGCTCACCATCCCTAGGCCCACGACCCCCTGTGACTGGGGTACCAGGCCCTCTTCCTGTACACTGGATGCTCTGTCTTCAGGGCCTCCAGGCTGTGCCCTCAGAGCTAAGTCTGGGCAAAGGAACTGCTTTGTTTAAACATGACTTTTTTTTTTTTTTTTTTTAAGTGAACCCACCACATGCCCAAGTCCTCTGTCCCTTGGTTTATTTCTGAGGCCCGTGCCTGGCCACCAGAGACCCTGGTGTGTGAGGACCCAGTGGCAGTGTGCTGGGTCCAGATTCTGGTTCCAACACAAGAAGAAATCATGTTCCTCTCTCAAAAAACCAACAAAACAGGCTTGGTGATACTCTTGGCTGAGAAAACATTAACAAGCTTTCAAATATTTAGAATTGTCATTAGTACTAAGTTACTGTAAAGTCAAGTATTTCTCTTTTAAGGGGGGTAAGCATCGCCCACCTAATGGTACGTATGAGAACCCAGGGAAAAGAGGAATTCCCTAATTAAATGTCATGAGCACTTTTTCTCTAGAAATACCACTCTCTCCTACCTAGTAGTGTGGGGACATTTTAAGTTTTTAAAAAACCAAAACAAAACAAAACAAAAAACCAGTGGCAGTGCACTCACCATTTGTGTTGGTTATTCCCACGTGAAGATCAGACCTTCCATCGTACTCCCTGAAAGAAACAAGTTTTGTGTTTTTTCTCATTTGCACATGACTGGCATGAAGAGTCCATATTTAAAAGCAGGAGAGGGATCTTGGCCGGTGCCAAGTTTCTTGCCATCAGTGGCCATGTGAATGGAAGCACTGTTTCAAAACTGGTTGAGGGGCGCCTGGGTGGTGCAGTCGGTTAAGCGTCCGACTTCAGCCAGGTCACGATCTCGCGGTCCGTGAGTTCGAGCCCCGCGTCAGGCTCTGGGCTGATGGCTCAGAGCCTGGAGCCTGTTTCTGATTCTGTGTCTCCCTCTCTCTATGCCCCTCCCCCGTTCATGCTCTGTCTCTCTCTGTCCCAAAAATAAATAAACGTTGAAAAAAAAAATTAAAAAAAAAAAAAAAACTGGTGGAGCCAAGAGTACATCTGAGGTAGAAAATACTCCCCCGGCCCCCCCAGCTGGATTTTTTTGGCCCCCCATCACTAAAGGCAGTGGAAGGCCTTGGAAGGCCATTCCTCCTAGAGCATAAAGTCAGCTTAACTCTTAGCTGCCCAGCTGAAGGGCACAGCTGGAGGTCAGTTGTTGAAAGAGATCCTCATACTTCCCGCCTTGTAGGTGAGGTTACAGGCTGACCGGGGAGAGGATCCTGAGTGCATCTCAGTGGACCTCTACCTTCAAAACTAAAGTAGTGTCTTTTGGTCTTTATAGCCTGCAGCCACACCCACTTTTCCTGGATGGCCTTGTTTTCTGAAATTACTCTTTACCTGAGACTGTTCATTAAATCTATGATTCCGTATGATTTAACCTTCATTTCCAATCCCAGGCCATCATTTACTAGCACGGGGACATTAGCAAGTCACTTTCTCTCTCTGATCTCAGTTTCCTCATCTGGAAAATGGGAATATCATAAACCTCCTAGCAAGCTGGTTGTAAGAATAAAATACCAGATGAGTGCCTGCAAGTGTCAAATAAATCAGAGGTTATTGTTGGCTCAGTTGGTAAGCACCCAACTTCGGCTCATGATCTCACAGTTTATGAGTTCCAGCCCCGCATCGGGCTCTGTGCTTACAGCTCAGAGCCTGGAGCCTGCTTCAGATTCTGTGTCTCCCTCTCTCTCTGCCCCTTCCTTGCTCATGCTATCTCCCCCCCTCCTCTCTCTCTCTCTCAAAAATAAACATTAAAATAACTTTTAGTAAATAAATCAGAAGTTGTTGTTAAATGATAAAGCTCCTTCATGAGACCGCAGGTTCCTCATTAAAGTGAGCAGTCCGAGGCTTTAAAATGACTGAAAACACAAATGGCTGCCCCACCTTCACAGTGATCCCCCAGGTCATCTTGTTGCAGCCACCACTTTGAGGGTTTTGAGACTGTGGGTTCAGAGGCTGAGGATGAAGCTGAGCAACAAGGTACCAGTCTGATTGTAGCGCTGCACTTACTTACCCCAAGATTGCTGCGTAAGCATGTCACTGCACTTTGTTTCCTGCCTCAATCCTAGGCGTTCCTTCCCTCCCCCTGTCCTTCAGTTATTTCTCAGTCATGCAACAGATATTTATCAGGTGTGAACGAGCTATGGGCCTGTCATTTGAAGTGAAAGGCTAGTAGCACAACAGGAAATAAGCCTGACAAGGTCTCTGCCCTCTTGGAGTTTGCTTGCTTCCAGAGAAGACTTTTTAGTTTAACGAGTTTTTAACAGATAAGTGCTCTGAAGGGGAAAAAAATGTAGACTGTTACAGAAGCATGTCATAGGGGCAGTGGGAGAGCCACCTCTCTCTCATACAACTCCTTGGTACAAATTAAGAAAAGTTCCCTTTTTTCCTGCAGATGCAGCTCTGCCCAGCATGTTTGGCTTGCTAGGTGTAGTGCCTCCTGAGTTTCAGGACCCAAAACCACCTTGACAAAGCATCTTTGGGCAGTGTACAACCTGTACAACCATATGTGGCAGCCCTGAGAGATCTTAACCTAGTTTGATGAGAACCTCAGTGATTTCCGAGGGTCATTGAAGGTTCTCTTTTACAAAGTGGATGAAATTTTCTCAAGGTGAATAGTGGGAGTCATTCTTGAGAGTTTGGAAATTGGATGAGAGGGAAAGGGACAGTTTAGAAGTTGGCCTTAGAAGGTCTGGTGGGCAGGGGACTACTTGAAGTTCTGCAGATCCTGGCGTGAGGGGATGGGAGGATGCTAAAGCATATAACCTGTTTCAACACCACCACCTCCCTTCTGCTGATGCCAAGGAAGGCCAGGCCCATCAGTATTGCTACCACATCACAGAGTACATAAATGCTTATTAGGGGCCAACCCAAAAGCCTATCATGTTCTGGAGAGCAGGGCTCTGGCTCATTCACTGTGACATCCCTGGAATTTCCCACACAGAGATGCTTGGTAAGGATTTGTTGAATGAATCAATGTTATAGTGGGTGAATTCTGAATTTTAATCACTTTATTCAAAAGCTTTCAGAATCTAGCCAAGTAATTCTCCAAGTTAGCATGAATGAGGGGATCTTGTGAAACATTTTGGGCTTCATGATTTAGATAAGGGAAATGAAATTTCTGCCAGTTACATTCTGAACTGAATATGAAAAGAATATCATGGAAAAGAGCGTGTTGGCTCCACTTTGTGTCTGGTGCCCGGGTCATGTTTCTGCCTTAACACTGCCCCCTCACCACCCTGCAAGGTCGGCAGGACCCTCATTTTGCAGATGAGGAATAGAGACTCCAGAGGCTCTGATGCTGTCTGAAAACAGGATAGGAATTGGGGGCTTTGTGGTACTACGGCCTGCACTGTTCTCTCTGTATCCTGTGACCTCCGGGAAGAGTCAGGGGTGCAAAACTGCACACTTTCGTTCATTTTATCCACATAAGGACAGGAAGGAAATCAATTGAGGAAGTTAGTAAGCAGGGAAATAAATAGACAACTCCAACCGTCTTACCCCAAACCAGAGCTCTTGAGGTCACATGAGCGTTGGGAGGGGGGATTTCAAGAAGACTAGGATGTCTCAGCATTAGGTCACAATGACGCTTACGAACATGCTTCCTAAAGCACGTGCCATCGTTCTGTAGCATCCATGCTCTCAACACCTGGCTTGTGCTGGGCCACTTCTAGTTCCATTTGTAAACTCCACAGGGACACTAAGGAGGTAAGGTCCTTTCTTTTGATTTCTGAAATCTTTCTTAAAGTCAGGTGGCATCCACAATTGAGGCACACCAGGTCTGGTCTTCAATTTAATTCACCACCATGTAGAATAGTCTGTATGTGGCCGTTTTTCAGGCTTTTGTACATGGTACCTGTTTGCCACAGATATTTCAGGCTAACTCACGGTAAAGGAATTATTTTGACTGGAGTAGCTGCTGGTTCGTTTTCCCAGTTAGCCTCTTAGTGTAAAATCTATGGGTAAAAAAAAGTTCCAAGCTTTCAGTTTTCCTCTCCTAAGATTGTATAAGCAGGTTTGACCTTCACATGTTCTTCATATATTCTTGCACTTATCCCTCTAGGAGAGTACATACACCATCTATCTTTATGAAATGAGTAGATCTACATTTTAGGATTTAATGCCAAAACAACTGGCAAGACTATCCACCAAGCCTCACCCTGTATAGTACATGTTAGAAAGTTTTAGTGACCACAACACAAAAGGCAAAGTTTACAGAATTCAATGTAACACTTAAAAAACACCGTACCGGGGCGCCTGGGTGGCGCAGTCGGTTAAGCGGCCGACTTCAGCCAGGTCACGATCTCGCGGTCCGTGAGTTCGAGCCCCGCGTCGGGCTCTGGGCTGATGGCTCAGAGCCTGGAGCCTGTTTCCGATTCTGTGTCTCCCTCTCTCTCTGCCCCTCGCCCGTTCATGCTCTGTCTCTCTCTGTCCCAAAAATAAATAAACGTTGAAAAAAAAAATTTAAAAAAAACACCGTACCTAAGAAACGTCCCTTGAGTTGGTCTGAGGAGGAACGAACATTTTTCTTGATGCCCATTGGTAAAGGGATTGGAGATGCTAACAGGTGCTTCCTCCAGCTTCCTCGAGCTCATGACTTGCTGGCAGAGGGGGCAGCACTGGGGCACACTGAAGCTGTAGATGTATTTCTTACAGTGGTTGAATTTAATTAAGGGCTTTGCAGCCTCTGCAGGGTGCATGGTTTTCCCCTCCTGGGCTACCAGGGTTAGTTTCCGGAGACTTCCTTTTCCTCATTACCTGGCTGGCAAATAAATGTACGCCTCCCGAGTAACCTGATCAACAATGACGTCATTCTGATTGACAGCTTCGGAAGCCAAACCAAATAGGATTAACCCGTTACCAGACCGCCCCATAAACTGGTTTCTTAAAGAGCTAGTTTTCATTTGTGCTCACTTACAAAGGTTCTTTCTAGCCTTGTACGTTCTGCAGCCGCCGTCAGTCAGCTCCTACTCATCCTTTAAAGCCCTACTTTTCTGTGAAACTTTGCTCCACTTCTTTGAGTGGTCCCTTGCGCTGGTGGGACTAGATTCATGCTTCTCATGGGCTCTGATATTTGATTAGTCATTAGCCTGTGAGCTGCTTGGAGTTAAGGACCCACATTTATTTTTGTGTTTCTAGAAGAAGTTATGTTGTTTTGTTGTTGGATAAATACATGAAAGAAATCCTTGGAGGCTGTTGTCTTTTGATGTTTTATATTGTAGAAGTAATCTTGCTCATAAAAAGTTAACAGTACAGTTAGAAATAAGGATAGTGGTTACCCTCGGTAGGAGGTACTGACTGGGAGAAGGCATGAGGGAGTTTTGGGGGGTCTGGAGCTGTTCCGATTCATGATCAAGGGGTTGGTTGTATGAGAGTTTGTGAGCATTTTGTGAAAATTCCTCAAGCTGGACATTTTACTACAAGCACTTTATTATTCTTCAATTCTAAAATAATTTTGAGAAACTACACAAAAATATAAGAAAAAAAAGGTAATGTCTTCTGTTCCTCTGTAATATTTTCCACTCACCAAATCCAGCTCCCTGAGAAAACTAATGGTATGTTAAATGAAAATTTCCACATAATTTTTTAAAATTCCAACATTGTGTATGTTATGCCCAGAATTCGTGATCCCCAAAGACCACTAGGGAGCCAAGTCCGATGCAAAAGCAAAGAGCCTTTATTGGAGCTAGCTCGAGCTCAATCCCCTACCTGCACCGACGCAGCGGTGAGATACCAGGGAAAAAGAGCGAGTTTCAAAAGGACAAAGGTTTTATTGGGGCCTGGGGGCAGTTGGTGAGGTAATGGCTATGGCCTCA